TATATATATAAAGCGGGGTTAAACCCTACAAGCCAGCCATCGATGACAGTGAAATGGATGTATCCTATTGAACAGCTTCGGTCACTCCTGCAGAAATATGTCGGAAATTTTAGTATTACTGATATGGGCTTGGTTTCCGACTTCATTCTTGCGGCTGACAACCGATTTCGTATGCTACAGCGCTCCGCCTTTTTGAAGTCAATGCTTCCAGTCCTCCAAGATTACAGTCTTGATAAAACTTATCTAACGCTGGCTGCTTTGCATTATCTCACACTGGAAAGTTTCCCACACACATGAAGGAAAGACCTTAGATCCTGTGGTAACGTGGTGACTAGCCCCCTTGAGAAAAGCAGTGGTTCGTTCACTCAACAGAATCGTATTCCCCTACCTCACTGAATGATTGTGTGTCGAATTTTGAACCCCCTCATAAGCAAGTCACGAGCATGTAGGAGGACAGCGTGCATTATGATCCGTGACCAGAACGCAGATGTATCTCTGCTATTTAAGACCAAGTAGAAGAAAAATTTAGATGCAAACTTTGCATGCACTGCCACATGCAAAGATACCGTATATTGGTTGAGCTTCTGGTTAGCCGCGGCGACAAGTCCTTGTGTAGCTGCCAGACAGCATCACCCTAGGACAAACTAGCTTTGTTTGTAGTGTAACTGCCGTCCTCACCGCAGTCAGGATTCACAATTTCTCGTCAAAATTCTTCAACAACCCAATAAGTTTATAACTGTTCATATGATGATTTCTTTCGGATTAAAAAGACAAATCTTCTGCAACCAAGCAAAGTAAAGTCCTTTTGAGAAATCCTGTGAATCTGTCTTGAGTGTCGCATGTCTGGCTCATACAGTTTTCTTACAAACATAGAAATTTGTAAATTCCCTCTACATTTGGTTTCCTTTGTCGAGGATTACTTTATAAGAGGCTTTTGAGCTAAATGACAATCCAGTAGGCCTATGGTTAACTTGGGACTCTCTCTCAGTTTCCTCCATTTTCGAGGCAGTATGACCTTATGACGTACCGAATGGAACCAAGTGACTTTTGGGAAGTTTATTTACCAGCATTTTTTCAGACGTTACACCTGTGTCTTCTCATAAACTTTCCGAAGAGTGTTTGAATACCTGATTTAGTAAAGTAAGAAGCTGCTTCATTCCCAGACTGTTCAGCAGAACTAAAAGCACACCCATAGATACCGCACCAAGTCGCTATCTGATATCTTTTTCAGTGGGTCTCAGATTACAACACTTCATTTCATTTAAGTTTGTAACTCGATTAACTGGATATCCCTCACTATGAAATGAGGAATCCCTGCAGGCTGGCCTGTCACTAACAGCCAAATAACGCAAAGGGCACATTTGCCGGAGTTTGTTAATCAATTCTTAAGAAAATTGAACTTTCTGTCAGTTTGACGGCTGAATTCTAACGGTTACTTACAGAAACATCGCCAGCAAGCAAGGTCAAACACTGGACTCGTTTCCACCCATTACGTGGAACCTATAACGCTTCCTCAGATCATCGTTGCATTCCCACACTAATCATTATGATTACCCGTATATGAGTGATCTACCTTAATCAACTTGTAATAGCAGGTGTTTGTTGAAGTCAGAAATGTATACAGCATGTTTTTGTATACGATGTTAGTTCCGAAGAAGAATCGTGGTATTGTTCGCATCAACAGCCGCTCTTCTTCTGATCGTTATACCGTCAATTCATCCGTGCTAGCATAGAACATGTTTTGAGTAACGACGTCATTGATCGAATATCCGAAGGCTATGTCTGTAACTATACAGCAGTATTCATTACCATAAACTGAGGTTTGGTGCTATGCGTTGTGGAGGGCACAAGTACTGAAAGTTGGAGAACATAATTATGATTCAAAGATTCATGTATTTTTTATAAAGGAAAATATTGGTAGCTCAGGTAGTGTAAATTGACAATGGCTTGTTCGCTGAATTGTGCAATTCGATAAGTAGCAATGATCGCTGCACACCACTACGCTTGCCAACAAAACATTGGTGATGTCACTTTGATTGGTGCTGAAACGTTTGCAATCAAACAGTCCAGCTCAGCATACAAGCCAACGACCAGATTCGTGTATTACTGCATTACCTTTCTTGTGAAATGCTGTTGCATATAAGTGACTCGGGTGTGCTGTTAACTTGGTTGCTTGTTCACCAAGCCTGAGGATCGATTGAAGCTAATATGCCTACTTACTGGTGCTACATCCTCAGTGCACTGTCGGCTGGGATCCTTCTTCTGTGTGTTTGCGTCTGTGTAAGTCTTCATGGGCCCTTTAGGATATGTTTCTTTTGCCATTCATTTAGCCAGTTTGTCAACCCCCTCGTTACCTGCGTAGTTGGTGTTGTGATTATCTAACTTTTTGTTTTTATTGGTTGATTTCAACATGGGACTAAGTTTTAATTGGTTATTAGGCTTCTTGCTGATAAACAGTTGTCGGTCCATGCCTTAAAATTTTTTTGTGTGAACACCGGCCCCTCTGGCTTCGTTTGGTTAGTGCACCTTGAGTTCTAGTTGGCTAATTGATTTTCTGTTCTAGATGATCAGTTGTTTATGTGCTTCAGTGTAAACCCTTATGCCCTTGTCACTTGCCCGATAGCTCCTTTTTGGGTGTCAACAACCAATCTTATGTTTTCACGGTTTTGATTCCATTGGTATTGATTAGTTTAGTTTACTACAGGGTTCAGAATGTAGTTCTGTTGTTCGGAGGCCCTGTTGTACTAAATCTACTCTGATGTGTTTACAGTATCGCTGCGCCCCTTCGTATAATTGCCAGGGACATTTGAGGAATCGAAACAAGAAATACTCATGCGTTCAAAATCACGTCATTTTTTGCACCGGTAGACTCAAATCTAAAAAAAAGTTAAATTTACCGGATATTTGACAACCTCAACAGATCTTCCAAGAACAAAGATCATATCTGCGGTATACTGAATCTGTAGTTTTCCAAACTTTATTTGAACGCAGTGAGGCGCGCTACAACAGGACAGATTTAAAAAGGGGGAAGTCCTTGCAAAACAAAAAAGACAGGCGCAGTAGGCAACTTCGAGAATCAAACTCTCTTTTTTTCAGTACCACTGCCTAGATGACAGCAAGAATTTGCGACAACAACTACCAATCAGCTCCAAGACAGTCTGAGGACCATCTTCCAGAAACTCAAGAGATCACTGAATGCGAACGTTATCTGCGTAATTGTAAGTAAATAATTCGACAAGCCCTGAAAGAAAAAATATCCACCAGATTAGGTGTGCGCAAGCTTCCCAGCAGAATGCATTACCCGATGTCACTTGCTTCAGTTTGCGAAAAAGGTGAAAGTCATCAACTGGGTTGGAACAACGTTCGGACAAAGACCAATAATGAGCGAATACGAGTTAGTCTGCATCTTCGTGAGATGAAACCAGTCGCGCCACTGATTTCGGTGGTAAAAATTGTTCGCTTGTATTTCTCACGGGTTCCCTTTATAAGAAACTCGCAGTTTCAGCATTTTTTTTGAAGTTGACACCACTTGTGAGCTGTTATGCAAAGGAATTATGAAGCCTTCTCAGGTGATTAGATAGAGGGTGCCAAAAATTTTATAAACACCTTTTCCCCGTTTTGCCTCAACTAAGGGACGGAAAAAGGGATTTCTGTCATCAAAGGACTGTTTCACTCTTCTTGCTGATGATGTTTACTCGCTGTCTGTCCTGTATTCTTGGTATTTCACTGTGGAACGTGATACCTGCCTAACTTACAACTTGACATAAATCATATGTTGGAAAAGTGTGAGTATTTGATAGCCCATGTATGCTTAGGTGACATACATCCACGTTCTCACCCGAATTTTTTGTGAAGAATCTTGGAGGCCAGGCTGCAGGTAGCTTATTCCCGGACATTATCTGTTGTTCTTGGCGCCAACACTTCTATTCCTGCAATCTAACGTACTGTGGTGACTCTTTTAGAAAGTTGATTTGCTATGTGATAGACATTTAGCTGAAGCTATGTGCTGAGAAATGGCACAGGTCTTCAACGTAGTCGTCACGGCGACCGTGTTAGGTTAGTACTTTCGGCTGTTAAGCTTTGGCTCCTGTAGCCGAGAAGTACCTGAATATTTTGGCATGTTTTTCCTTTAAGATAAGAGTCTGCTGAAAGACCCTCCGGTAGAACAAATAAACAGAGTAGGGTTTTGCACGTCAGCGTGAAATTAAATGATTAAAAAAATTGAAATAAATGGCCTTAGAATTAATGTTTGTTCTTAGTCTTTTCTGATGGCTCAGAAGATTGAATTAGAGGACATTCAGACTTCATTTAAGCAGTCACAATTCGGGAAATGGTGTTGTTCTACCTTAATAATCCTGACCCTTGCGGTCATGGTCTACGTCTGATAGATCAGTAGTCTGTTTATGAGGATTTCCGAATACCATGATGGCAATTTTGACCGGTGAAGTAGTCCTAATTTCTCATTGTTTTTGAAATCATGTTGCGCACAGTTCCGAAGTTACGCTAGCCGTGTGTTTTACAACTGAGCCTTTATCGCTCGCAGTAAACTTCATATTTCGACTGCAGAACTAGCTCACGTCTCTAATTATCACCAAAAGACCCTAATACCATAATAATTTTTTCACTCCTTACGAATACGACCCATACGGCTCAGGGGTACCATGTGCAAACCAGAAACCAAAGTAGATCAACAGATTTGCTGTGTAATGCCTCGTTTCAAAGTAAAGTAGAATATCACAGCCTTTGTACGGATTTTCTGTCTGTTAGGTTAGTGCGTTCAAATTTGATGGGTTTCAGTTTTTCTCGTGTATGCACATTAGCCCAGTTCAATAATCAGTAAGACAACAACGAAGGCTTACTGGTTTTCAGTAATAATAAAATTAAACCGTGTAAGTATGGTCTACAATCAATGATTACGGCGTATGGCATTCCAGCGGTCTAGATTTCGGAAGTGTGGATATCTTAACTCAAATGATTGAGAAAGGAAACCCTTAAAGCCTCTTTTATATTTGGTAGCCCGAATAGTAACAGAAGGTGCTTACTATCCTGATAAACTAGTGCTCTGAACACAAACCAAAGCTGCATTCAGTTGCTGACTTCTTGGATTCTGTTGTTGCTGTTTTACGCCAAGAAATTTTGAGACCAGTAACTCGGCGGTACATTCGGAAGGAAACTCACAACTAACTATACACCAAAACACTAAGTGAGTTTATACTTCTCTCCTACCCTGCAAACTGGCTCGGGTCTGTTGTCTTAGCATCATCAGGCTGTTATACACACTTCACCAAACGTATAGCTTTCGGTTCGTTTCATCAAGACCATGGGTCGGCTCACCAAAAGTCTTGACCGAAATCGCACTGATTACGTATGGGTTGTACAAGCGAGGCGAATTCACGTGGATGCTTGTACGCTACTCTAGTTCAAGTAAACCATTTTGCGCATACTCCAAGTTTTGAATTCCAGCTTAGGATAGATTTCAGCAACGTTTCATTGAGACTGAGTAAAAACCAGTGCTTTTCGAAACCAATGAGTGCATTGATTTGTCTGTTGTGGTTTCAATACAATTTTGCACCTTTTCGACACTGTCTTTGATTTAATCCAGAATTGTTATTCAGAGAACTGTGGTTAACCCATGTTATATACATGACTGTTATACATGACTGTTGTTCTCTTCACTGCAACCGGACTGCCAACCGAATTCCCTAGAACACCAGCCACACCATCCAGTTTCAAACCAAAATTGTTTTATGCCTACTGGAAGCCTTCGTCATCAGCATTTTAAGAATTCTTATGTTGTACTTCATAGTGTCTTAGGAACCAATGGAGGATTGTTTTATTAAAGTTCATGCTCTTTACCCACTCCAAAGCACTGTACGTTTAGGTAATTGACTTGTATAGTGTAAACAACATTTACTTTTCTATGTGAAAACCTCTGTTAAAACTTCTCTGACTAGATTCAGTTTCTCCTCGTCATTGTGGCTTTAAAGGGCAAATTTGTTGATTTTTCCGATTTGTTCAATTTTCTTTCGGAGCCTTGGGCAGGGGAGCTTGAATTTGTTGATTGACTCATGTATCCGCCTAGGCTGAGATTTTTCTATATCAGATGAGCTTGACATACGCTTTTTTAGAATACGAGTAGTATTCACTAACTTGTGTTACTGCTGCCAGACGTACTACTCACTGAAGTTAAGGATCATGTGGTAAAACAACCGTGTTAGTCGTATTTTGTTGTGCTCTTTCTATAACCAAAGTTCCCGAGCACGTTTTAGTACGCATAGGCTGAGAGCAACTTGCCTGAAGCGAAATATCAAAGACTACTAATGGCAGAGAAAGAAAACAAAGTTTGTCATAGGTATTTACTCTCTCTTCTTAATAAGTATACACCAAAAACATTGTTTTCCAGTTGGAATACCGCTTCGCTGAAAGATTAGCTGGGAAACAAGCGGTAGTTCGGTAACTCGAAGTGCAGGATCCAACGGCCGAATGACACTTGTAAAATACTTTTGGCTTCATCACTGCCATCCCCTTGATTATCTGTGCACAGGATGGGCATGCTACGAAACCAGTTCGAGGGCTGAGAATCCGGGGGCTGTCTGGTCGATTTGAATGGCCCACGTATTCCTAGCATTGCTTGCATGGCCTTACTTTGATTGGGATCTCTGAGAATGCTGGACCAGCCTTACAGGGGTTACCGCATTTTGATATCGGGTCCACATCTTTTCTCGTGTATTCGGAGACATTTGCACCAGGCCCCCCTTGTATCCTTCTTTACGATTTACAGGAACGTCCCCATGGCAGTGACATAGAACAGCCCTTGATGATTTTTATAAACAATATTCCGTTTTTGCTTTTCTATTTTTTGCATCACTTATCGCCAAAGATGCTGTAAAACGTCTTTGGTAAGACAATATGTCGAACGATAAGGGAGCTACGTTTTCCCCAAGCTCATAAGGAGAGTAAACGGGTAATTGTTCTGCAATAAGCGACTATTTATGTGAAGGCCATTGACTCGATTTGTCAGGCAATTCAAAGGACACTTAGATAACATACTCAATAAAGAAACTACTGAAACATCTCCGGACCGCGTCTAGACGAGTTTTTGTCAGGAGTACAATTTTGATGTTCATGTGAGCTTTAGTCCAGAAACACAAACTTTCAAAGGCGTTTCCCTGCAAAAACAAAAATAGCACCGGACAAACAGGATTCGATGGGCCTGCCAGTGTCAGTACACAAGAAACCACAGGGTTAATTGATTCCATCGATATTGAACATTGAAAGGCTCTTTTTCGGTCATTCACTAAACAACCAAATCACTATGAGCAGTCAATCAAGACAGAATAAACACCGGAAAGCCACTTTCTGTTTACCTCAGTTGACCGGAAGAACTCAATCTCGGAGAAACGGCGGGTCACTGACTAAGGCCAATTTAATGCAGACAGACAAGGTCCTTACAAAATAATCCCTTTCTTGCAACTAACTGAATGACATTTGAGCACGTCGATTAGGAGTGCAGGAGGAGACAAAACGAACGGGGTTAGGAAGTCCACCAGTATTGCAGATGTATTTTTCATCTAACAAATCACACAAAGCTAAAAATGCCCACCTACTAGTGCACTGCGCTTCAACATAATGGAAGCACTCCCGTCCTATGGGAAACTCCCATTTAAGGGATACTGCGAAGAAACAGGCGATTTGATTGATTTCAAATTGCTATGGTTTATGAGAATGACTTGAATGGCAATGTAGTTGACCTAAGGACCGGTTTTCACAGTTCTTTTTTGGTGTTATTAGTCGTTTGTCTTGACAGCACCACACAGAACGCGATTTGGAAAAGGCAGTCTCAATAAAATAACACTCCGGGGCGAACAGAACGACCTGCCGGCTACGTCTAGTGTAGTGAACCAAGCTTTGCTCAAAACAAGTCGTGAAACGATAACTACATATAGGTTTGTGGTCGAATCAGTTTTTATCATTTTCACCGCAAGTCCTGTAAACGATCTGGTATGTTTGAGCAAACTGAAGTACCGAGTATCACCGAAATAGGACTGCAGTTGTATTCAGTGGTTAGAGCGTGGATTTATTGGCCGTTTGTTTATCGTATAAACTAGGTACGCAAGGCATCAAAGGGTTTCATTATTGGACCAAAAGTAGTTGAGGATCATGGTGCCGCAAGAGAGCAGTTTTCATGAAAGTACCGACTATCTAACCAAATTAGACAATGTCTGTTGGGCGCATGACTCTTCGAAAAACCGCTCTCCTGGAGCCAATTTGGGAATGAACAACAATGAATCATAGCACTGGGCCTTCTAATAAGTGCATCCGATAATGTATTTCTTGCACTGACTGGCAACTCATACCATTTCATTTTTGGTTCTCTGCATATTTTTTTAAAATGCAACTGTGTCTCAAGGGAGCCAAGACATTACGAGTGTAAAACATATTTTCACAGCTTTTGGCAGATATTCAGGTATTCCTGGTTGGAATGTACTCATTTCGGTGATAAGAAACACAACCGCTTCTGGGCGAAGGTAAAATGCTTCTTTTGTGATAACTAAATGAAAACATAAATGCGAAACATGGCGAGTAGAAGTAGATTGGCATTCGTGGAACTTTCGTGTGTCCTAAACGGCGAACTATATTTTAACAGAAAAATTCAGGAAGCAACGCAGCTACCAGTCTGTTCACTGTAATCAGTGCAGCATAAATCCATGATTTTGTGAAATATTCTAACGCATAATAATGTTTAAACCGTTGTGCTGCAAGTATTTATGGAAAATTTGCTGCTATGTATGGTAAGAGGTAGTGAGTACATAATTGCAGCAATGGTATTTCTGGTATCTCTCCGGGGTCGGCTCCCGAAATGTACCTAATCACTTCTATTCATGACAGTGGATGAGTGAAAGTGGAGAGCTAGACTAAATGACTTGTCTTTCTTGTAAGAAAATGTATTTCAGTGTCTGTTTCTTTTAGACAAAAATGCGTGCATTGTCATTTTGTCTGTATACCTTTCGAAGAAGGCAAAAAAATTGCAGGCAAACTTGAGCCTCGGGTTGTAATTGCTAAAGGAAAAACTAGAAATTGCCATCAAAAACTAGTTGCAACCGTCCAAATGCAACTATTATTATCAAAATGAAGCTCTAAGATGTCGGTGTGTTGTTTAGTTTTTGCTTCATCCATTTGGAATTTTATGGTGAGGTTTGCGGTGGACTCCTTGATTAACACATTTCGTCTAGACATGGTGGCTTTTGAAAATTTCCGTGCATTCGACAAAACTGAATATGGTGATAACTGATTTCGCTACTGATCTGTGTTTTTGTCTGGTCGAAATATATATGGCTAATATTCAGTAAAGGCATGTGAACTTAATAACCTAGAATCTCACCACATCAGCCTTCTAAGTTATGTGAAAAAGTGGTGTACGTAGTGTTGAAGAAAAAGCGCTTCACAAGCACGAAAGCTGTGAATGGATATTATTTTTTAACATTACATTCCAATCTTTCAACCGAACGAATCAAACAGTCGGAGAAATCGAACTAGATGTTTATGGCCAAGTAGGCGATTCAGGGACTAGACTCTCCTACCTTTCATGGCTTGATAGCACCAATAATTAGGTCTTAGGTATCGCACACATTTAACGTCATTAAGATAACACAGTTTCGACGAAAAGTTTCAAAATTCTCCTAGGTGTTTGAAAATTTAGAAAGCTAGCTTGGCTAGCAAATAGTGGACAGGTAATCCATCATTCTCCGTAGATAGCACAGAGAAGGCCACTGAGAAAAACGAATAACCGACCACTAGGGAGCTAAGCGTTGCTTAGTACATCAGTCTTGCTTGACCCGTTCATAAACGTACCTGAACCATGTGATTTCATGGTCAGATTGCGAAGCGGGTTATTTAATTGTCAAAAACAGAAGTGTGATTGGTCGTTGTGTTAATGAGCACTGAAAACGCAGGCCCGGGTTAACTTTTAGCATACTTTGTGAAAAACGTTTCATTCTATATTAACACACACGGGGATTGGAGTTTTGAAATCCTACGAAGAAACTTCTGGCAATAGTTGCGGTGAGTGAAATTCGGTTGCAGTTTGAGATCATAATCACGAATATTTTCCAAAGTATTTTATGTGCAGAAATGCACACCTTGACCACGAAGTGGCCATTGTTAAACGCAATCATATTTTCCTAGCTCAACGAATAATTAAGTGATTTCCACGAACTAAGAGGGAACCTACGAAGAATGATTCACGCTTTAACCCCAGCATTATTTTACATTTGGTTGGTACAATCCTAATGCGTTATGTTCATTTTTGTATACTATAGATAGATTTCAGAAATGGCCGAAACAAAGGACTTCAATAACAATGTTGTCATTCTCGCCCGTAAGTTCTGTAGTTGAATTCTTCAGTTGATTTGCACCGCCCCTGATAAACATAGAATGTATTTGTACTGAAACCGATGTCATTTGAAAGTTGATAGTTGGATACACTCAACATGAATACCCTGATCTTAGAATTGACTCGGAAATTCTTATGCAGCGGATGAATCGGAATAGTGACCCTTGCCTCACGAAACACTGTGGTAGTGTTTCTGTCATCAGAAATGTATTGTTGCCAAGCTTGGTTTTCGCAGCGAATATTTACTGTTTTTTTACTTGATTCGTGGACTTATTGACGAGTGGATGAAGCAGTACTTTACCAAAACAAAGACATCGTAACAAGACCTCAGTGGGCAATGATGACGCGCACACTGGACCATGTTTTTCTTAACCTTTAACTTAGGAAACTTCTGCAGGAATCAGTGGGTGCGTTGAAAGTACACATGAATGGACACGCTTTCACTATATAATGGCTGCAGCAAACTATGTTTTTATTGGAACCATTTGAGTTACAAGACAGAAATATGTTAACTGACTGAATACACTACAAGTCCAAGCGATCGGATTGAGCAGCACAGGCAAATCAAGAACAGACCAGCTGATTTCCTTGTATAAAGGTAAATCAAATGAAAAGTTTCAGTTATTGTATCGTTTTCGTACACTGAAGCAATGCAGTGTAAGTGAAACACGGATACCGATAAACTTCCGTTGTTCAAACATAAACGACCGGGCCTTACACTGGGTTTCTCGCATATTATCTTACCGCCATTCTGGAGATCGGTTACATATCGGAAATTGAATTCCGCAAATTTCGTTTTAATGGGAGCTGGCGGCTTAGTACTTCATAACTGTCTGTCCTCTTGATTATTGTCTGTCTTCGTGATATTGGTCATTGTCCCATGGAGACCGTGTTAACTTGGCAAGAACTCCATTGAAACTCAACGCAACCGATCATGTGGTTTTTGCTGAATTCAGGGACTGTCATAGGACCCTGGGGGATAGGTGTATTTCAGAGTATTCGGAATGCTTATAAGTGGTGTTTTTATTCACTTGTTTCTACAGTGTGCATTGCCAGCTTGCTCCTGGTCATCGTGATTCTCCTCATCGTTGTCATCACCTACTATTACTTGTAAGTTCGAAGTCACAGTTTGATCTTCATTTCTGCCTTTCTTTTTCTCTATCTGTACATGTGTATTAATATATTTCACGGCTCAATATTTCTGGCATTCTGCGATTGCCTGGTCTATCTTATCACGCCGAGAAATAGCAACCCAGCACGTATTATTTCCTGCCTTTGTGAACGTCACTGATCAGGAAAATCTAGTAAAATTTCTTACGTCATGGAAGTAAGGTTGTAATAAGTTTATCAGACCAAAAAGTCTCAGAATGGTGTTTTGCAAATTATAAATTTACTAAAACTCATGTATGTACAAAACATCGGTTACCGCTCAATGATGCGAAATATGTTCCGTTACGTAGCTACTATTTCCTCATTCCTGCCGGACCTTATCCGATCTACTTGTGACTTCGATCAATTCCAACCACAAAATCGAAATCATGCGATGTTACTGGTTTAGTCGGTTACCACTAACCTCCGTTATTCTACTCCTTACTTCAACGATGGACTTTCTAGTTTGCTTCCCCAGTCCCGTCGGAACCAAGCGGCATCTTAGACGGAAAGAGAGACTGATGAGGACAGTTTTAGATCACCAACAGCAAACTGGNGCGGCATCTTAGACGGAAAGAGTTACTGATGAGGACAGTTTTAGATCACCAACAGCAAACTGGTTGAGTGGATGAGAGCAATTTAGTAATATTAGCTGAATAAACCTTGAAACCGATTCAGGATGAGCAAGTTCTTGGACAACATGGGACCCATCCATTTTTCGACAGATGTCATTCACATGCTCAACGACCCAACACTAAACTGGCACATCGTCTCAACCATTTCAAGATAATATATGCACGGTCAAGTTCACAAAGGTATACCACAATCGTCATCTCGCTTTAACTTTATCCAACTGCTTAGGTCGATCTGAAGCTATCAAGATCCTGCACCTCTTTCAAAAACAGACTCAAAGGTTCAAAACAGACTTTCTTCGCCTTGTTGAATCAGATCAGAGGTTACATGCGCCGCGAAAATTATGTAAAATATTTAGGTGTATAAATTTATCACGAAGCTGGATAGATAAAAGGGGGGAGGAATGGTACAAGCAAATTGACTTACGGCAATCTGATTTGTTGTGAATTACAAAGTAGTGGGACGACAACTTCAGAATACGGTTTTTAGATTTCCTCTTAATTTGCCATGTGGAGACCCTTGTGACGGCGAAGACCCCGAAGATGACTCCATCCCTCGGTGGTCCGGTAAATCGTCACTACTGTTCACTGAAGTGGGAATGAATGTTTGCGAGTCGTCCTAAAAGGTTTTTCAGAACAAATTCTATCCGAATTTACTAAACCGTAAAGTCCATGAGACAGTGGTCAAATATTCCTGCCATGGAAAGCACATACAGACAGTACACAGATCCACCCATTGTTGGGCAAGCTTCCGATTCACCAGCAAAAATCCATACAACGCCTCACTGAAATGCTGCTGATTCGAAAAAATGTTATCTGATGTATTCTCAAGCGCGAAAGATGTAGTTTTTTGTCAACTCCAATACGATTGTCCAGTGCTCATGAACTCACTGGGGTCGGAGAAGTGACTTTCCTTTTGTCGGAAAAAGAGGGATCATCATCACCGACAGCATGACCGTGGGTGTGTTGAGATGAGAGTTGTTTTGAACAATTGGGTGTCGTTGTTGAAGGATTTAAAATTAGGATGCGGTTTGTCCTAAAGGCGGTCCACCACGACTTGCGTCCACTTTGAGCTATTTTTGAATGTAGATTTCGTTGTCTAAGTAAAGTTAACCTATGCGAATGCCTATGAGTGCTACACTGCCTTTTCATTTTGTTTAATCCTTACTGAGAATCACAAGCAGTGCGCATCTCGCAAAACTCCAGGAAGTTTCCAACCCACGACTTTCCTGCTAGTAGGCTGAACACTTAACTTTAGGCCATGAGGGACTGATCAGCTGTGTGATGAACTCGGAAGTACACGGGATATGGCAACCCTCGCCTTTAAATCATGGTGACTGATTAACGGTGTGGGATGTCAGGCAGACACAGCAGGACTGACCGGGCCCCTCTCGTTTACTTCAGCACTCTCAGTCTTCGAAAAGCGGCAATGTATGCATTATGCCTGATTTTGAATCCTGAGCCCTGGTTTTCTTTCCAGCAATCGCCTTTGTTCTCCAGAAGACCAGTTATGGTCACCCCAAATAAGGAACGATATTTGCACCTAGCAATGGCAGTCGGATTGGATGTAACTAATGGCGGGTTCGGTTGGCACAGGGCAGTATGAAGCCTTGTTCCATGATGTAAAACATAAGTCATTTTCCAAGCTCGGCGAACAGATCAGCAGCCAACTGATCAATAACCAACTGACCGGATTCTTTTTCATTAGCAGCAATGTGAGAAGTATTTCATTGAATGAGCTAATTAGGTCTCCTTTTTCAGGTGCAGGCAAACTAAGCATAAATCCAAGAGTTTGGTGTCGCTGATGGTGAGATACACATCAAAGGGCAGGCAGTATGAAGCCTTGTTCCATGATGTAAAACATAAGTCATTTTCCAAGCTCGGCGAACAGATCAGCAGCCAACTGATCAATAACCAACTGACCGGATTCTTTTTCATTAGCAGCAATGTGAGAAGTATTTCATTGAATGAGCTAATTAGGTCTCCTTTTTCAGGTGCAGGCAAACTAAGCATAAATCCAAGAGTTTGGTGTCGCTGATGGTGAGATACACATCAATTTGGGATGAAGACGCTCGTTTAATGAGCGTACCCAACCGGCCGCAGTAACTGTTTGTCCTGGTTGCCTTCTGAGTTTGGGTTCATTCCGTTTTTCATCTCAAAATAGTCACTGCATATCTTCACACATTAGCGTTCAAGACAAGTGCAAGCTTTCTGGACGTTAATAAGGGAGACCTTGTGGATGATGACCATCCTCTCCTTCTAGCACCTGCTCAGTTATAAGGGTGAATGTCGCTACTAAGACAAGCCCAGTGCAACCGTACGGGTTTGGAAACATTCCGGTTAGTTGTTTTACCACCTTTCGAATAACAATTGAAAGTTTTGCGGTCGCTGAAAACGCGTGAACCCGCCCTACCCTCTTTCGAGCGGCTTTCTAGGACTGGATCTACTGATAGTACAACTAGTTCATTCGTCCAGTGGACGATAGGAAATTTTGTTTCTATATATCGTCAGAATATTTAACCTAGGAAATTCGGTTCCCAAGAGCAAACAACCGTTCGGTGGTTATACGGAGTTTTCTTTCAGATCAGCTGCATCACCTTGTTTTGCTTTTTCGACTATATTCCAGTAAGAAAACTAGCATCAATAGATTAAAGTTCATTCACAAGACTCATGTCATAGAAGAGCGAAATTTCAACTAAATCCACTAGGGATCCAGCTCGTAAAAAGTGGTTTTGCAAACCAGTCTGTTGTTCAGTATGCCTAAAAGTATATCAAAACTACTTCGAACCAAATATAATTTCAGGTTGTTTGGATACAAATCGTTTTTGACTTCGTCTGAGCTGCTTGGAGAGTCAGTGGAATTGGGCTTTCTGGTCAAATTCCACTACATCTCCAGTCAATAAGCTCATGCTAAATATACGGATATTAGATACCTGACTTAAAGAGGCGGGTAAGGATTAGGGAGTTTGAGTACGTCAGGCTCTTTCCCAGATAGCACTCAGTTTTAAGTGTACATTCACCTAGCTCCATTGCACCCACTGTTACCCATCATTCATGGGCTGGCTGTAATGGGGTGTGACTGGACGTTTGTTTTCCGTGACAGTTATCAGCATTTAATGAAAATTTCCTAAGCGACAAAACTTCGCATCAGCAAAAGCTTCCTTTATTTTCCATGGTTTTACCAGTGAATGTACAACGGAGGGGATTCAGTACATTAGCAAACTACCGTTGCCTTATACGCGCGCGTAGTGTGGTCGGAAGGTATTGTACTGGGCTGCATATATCGTAAGGAATTCAAACTTGGGGATCGGTTTCTTCAAGTCGGACCGGGGCATGCAGAAACTTGGTAACCTCAAACCATGTATAAGCTGCCTTGTTTGAAAGCATTCCATAATTTTCCGCAAGTTACTGAGGAATAAATCAGACAAAGTGGAAAATTTTCGGCATAGAATCCACTGGCGCCCCAAGACTTCGCTTTTAGCAAATTTCGGCCATGCTACAATCTATTTTAAAGCAAGGAGTACCACCTTGGTAGATGGCTGTAAATAACAGCTTGGTATGTTGCTATGCAAGGAACTTCATCAGCTAATGCAATTTACCAGAATGGTGAGAGTTCCTCCATGTAGTAGTGACGTGCTCGGTAGTCTTATGGAAGTGAAATTAATCGATGCTAGTGGTCGGTTGTGCCATGTGGACGGTCTGCCCAAGTGCTACGTTTATTCAGTGGCACTTGCAGCACACTGTTATCACCTTGTTCATCCGGCGTTCTTGTGTGACCGCAAACAAATCATGCAAATAATGTCTGCCGCCCGCACGATATCTGCGCCAGCGTGACTCACATGGTGCACTCAGAAGCACACGTGACAAGCAAACTCGTGGACGATCATGTGAGGAAAAGTAAGCAATCAAGCTGCACAGGATGACAGAATACCAAGAAGGCCACAGCCCGTTGTGGGCACCCGAAACGTTGTTAACACTCTCATGAATAGCGTCCCTCTCTATCTGAGAGAAAACACATGGGTAATGTTGTGTGAGTTCAGTTCACGATGGCTGTCTGTGGACAGAAACATGTTTATACTTTCGTTCAAGTCAGCCCAAAAAGGCACACTGCATGTAATTCTGTCGCGTTAGTGGCTGGCATACTGGAGCCGTCTGTGAGGAAAATCACTCTTATGGCCTTTTTAACGGAAAAGTTCTTTTCGTGATGAATTTCCTGAACCACTGTGAATTTGGATTAATGCCAAACAATCGTGGTTTTAAGAGGGATTATTAATCTAATAGCACACCTTCGAATAGTTTGGCCACCCAACCGTATGGGATGTAATGGAGTGAATATAATGAATTCAATGAATCTCAGATGTATGCAAAACAACATGACATGACAATATTTAAAGTTTGATGATTGGTCGTATATTCGTGTAGGTTTCTTTAGGTAAGGGATTTTCTTGACTTAGGTGTATGGGGACATTAACTGATTCAAACGCACAGAACCTTGCGAAAGTTTCCTGCCGGCATTCTTGTACCAAATTTTGGTTTCAGTCCTCAAAATATGCTGATCATTTTACAAGCTCATCGCTTGTTATGTGTATTCAACTGAACTCCACGCCTGCTGAATGGAATGGCAAACGGTGTTTCGTAATATGTAGTCATTTTTAAACGAACAAAGTTTGCAAAGTTCTTTAAAATCCTTCCTATTTCTCATCTTTCATGATTGCATGCTGCGACATGTATTAACCACAAGAATATGCGAAACAATGTGATAATCCAAATTTGGCGACATATAAATGACAACTGTATTTCTGCTGGAATTCCAGCTGCACGTAAGAGGAAGGAAAAGGTACATGTGGCGCGTCTAGTCAACCATACATCTACCTTCTAACGGCTTCATTTCTCTTATTCAAGATTCTGTGGTTGTTAGTCACTCAACGGTTCCCCTTATCCTCTTTATATAAAGCTCGCTTTATGTTGAAAATACACGTGGCATCTTTCATTAGAATAATAAAGCAACCCGTCTATTTCTGTCTAGGGTAACGTGGAAAATTTTAGTCACAAAGTTTTGTTTTTCGGTTCCACGCAGACGAAACATCAATTTCCATGGATGCCAAAGTCACTCCACTGACAGAAAAAACTGCAATGCCCTAACGGAGTATTTTTACTTCACTCATCACTTTTGTTGAGCAACTGAACTGTGATGCGCTTCTAAATACAGCTCATTTTGCCTAAGTATTCATTTGATACACCTGGATACAATCGATTTAGCATGTCTTAGTGCACAACAGTTCAGGTGCTCACATGTACCTACCGGTGCAAATGGTTCAGGTGTGTGTTGTGGTAATTTGAACACTGTCGTCCTGATAAAAATGCGCAAATCATCATCTGCTGACAAAACAACCACAGATGTCTTTCAGACTTTACCCAATTTTTTTATTATTTGATAGAACCCAGTGAGGAACAACCAATGTTTGCGAGATGGTATTCAGGTAGCATTTCATTGACGGAAAATGCTCCTGAACTAAACATCCGAGTCCTAAGTTGTGTGCCAACTTGGTGCCTGCTCATTCACTCTCCACTTTATTCAGCAGCTCTGAATTAGACCCTTGACCGTTCACAGTTACTGTCATTACTTGATGGTAGTCGCTCAAAGGAAGCAGAACTTCACAAGATATATGAAACTTCCATCTGAGAAGTCGCTACTCGACGGGGCTGTCAGCATGAGTGACCACTTGATGTGGAGCCCGTGGCTGAAGGATAAATGAAGCTTTATGCTTTCTAAGTGGGACTGATCAGACTGAAAATCAGACACTCGAACCAGAACAATTTAGTGTTCAAAGTACTAGCAGGGAGGTTGCGGGTTCGAAACTGCCTGGAATTTCGTCAACAGCACACTATTGACGACTTCCAATAAGGATGAAACAGCTGTGCAGTGCTTCTTGTGTAGGATGAAATTCCAGTTGAAAAGCTATTACTGGACTGTCTTTTGATAGACCGTCTTCTTGCCAGCCAGATACACTTCGGTTTCGAAGTAAGTTTTCAGGTGCCCTAGATTATTGAAACCTCCAGTTGCTCGTACCGTCACACCTACACATGGTGTGAAAGGATCACACAAGTCATAGAACGCTCAATAAAAATGACTGTAAATCGTCCCCGATCGGCAGTAACTGAAACACCATGGGCTCATTCGACGGCCTTCGTCTTTGATCATCCAGGCGTTGTGTCTCACGTTATTTTGCTGATAACTGATGGTGCTATACACTTCAGATCCGCTCTCTTTTGATTTTTAACCGGGAGCATGTCGCTCAGGCTACTTAGAAGTAGGATAATTTTTAGTGTACTAAACTTCTACGCACATCACCTTTCTTTCTACTGATGACAACTACTGTGAGGTGTTTTCTAAACAATTTGACTGCACCAGCTCCCCGCAGGCCTGATCCAAATGAAATCATTTCCTAAAATAAATAGGGCTACCGATTCAAGTGAATCCTCGTTATCACCGAGCACTGTTATGGAATATTTTGATAAAAAGGCAACAGCATTTTGGCAGGAATTTGAGAGATGACCTTAACCAGTAGACATGAGATAAAGGGAACTTGAAACGCGCCACGCCGTCTAGTGGTTGACGGACTTATAAATGTTACTTACGACGGTGAGCACTATTTGAGACTGTAGTTACACTCTTGATGAAATATTGTATCAGTTGCTCAACTGCTATCCATGCGTTCTACTTCTTTCGAGACTGTGTTCCTTGTTAACCGTTCTTTTTCATGGCTAAGGCTGTGCCATTTTGTTTTACTGAGTTCTACATTCCGTGGTCTTTTGAACGGTATCGCAACTTAGTTTACCATATTTGGAGTTCCCAGAAAATAGATGCATCAGTCTTGTTAAATTTCGTCAGGGCGTGAGTTGTACATCCGAAAACATTCTCGGTTTAACATCTGTTCACAACTCCACTAGAATAGTTTTGGTGTTATTGTTGCAAATTTATAAAAGCGAATATTTGTACTCTTTGTTTCTCCTGCTCTTATCGTGTCTCTTTATGCTTTTTCCTCACAGCCGAAAACTTTCGGGTAAACAGGATAAGCCGTGTATTTCGTCCTGCTGTCTAAACTCTCGGAGTGATCAAGATCCTATAGTCTGGCCGGACAGCAAGCGAGTTGATAACGCAAAACCAAAATTACAACTGGATGATGCACGACTCTCGGACAACCATCAGTTTCATTTTCACAGGTACAAAGATGAAGAGCCTGACCAGTAAGCAAACTTTGATAGACGTTTTCTAAGTGTTTATTTTCTTAAATCAACGCTCCAGTGATATTATTCATGAGCGTAGAAATGTCGTTGGATTTGTCGTGTTGTGACCAGACTGAGTTGTTCTGATGTATCATAGATTGGAAGCTTGTTTCCACAACCAGTTTCTCTGCGTGCATAGCGCAAGGAGTGGTATTACTCCATTTGCCAGTCGTTTAGATGACCGAGGAGGACTGCAGCACTCCTTATTATGATTACTCTGCTTGTAGCATTACCAGTTCGGACACGAAAATGCTTCTGTTTTCCAGCACACTTTCTATAGTTCACTGCATGGAGTGCTTCGGTTATACTCATCTTCTATAAACCGGCACACGCTCGACGGGCCTATACTTAATACAGATTTCACCCCCTAAAAATCAGCGGTTGGCCCATGTCAAAATCCGGACAAATTTAAATCCGAAGCATCACAATCAGGAGAATGAGCTACCGATAGAACATGAATCTAACCAATCACATTGGTGCACAGAACGTTGGCATCGAAGGTCACACCTTACCCTTTATGATTTTGATAATTTTGCCCATGATGTAGTTTATCCGAGTTGACCGAAATGCTAAGCAGTGAAATTCCGCTCAAAATCGTTTTGTCCATCCTAGGTACTGTCCCAATCCAAACCATATATACTAAATGTAGTGGAAAGTCAGAACAACAAGCAAACAAACTTGACTGAAAACACCCTCTGACGGGTGACAATGCCCATTTTGATAGATATTGGGCCTGGACTTACAACTCTAATTTTTACTGGATTTAGACTTGAGAATTCCGGCTGAAATCTGTATAAACGAAGGATGCTTAAATTGTAAGCTAAACACTACTTGGACCATCGGGTGATTCGGGGCAACCAGCGTGCATCTGTTAGTCAAGGTGAATTTTCTCTGAAAAACCGTTCTAGTGCGTCACAGTTAGTTCAAGCTGGATGAAACGGAATCTCTCTACACAGCTTCTGTTAGTGGTTTGGTCATCGTCGCTGAATGAGACTGTTATATCAGTTTCCGTTCATTTGCGTGCCGTATAACGATTCATTCCGTTAGATTTTCCTCAAATTATTCAAAGTGACCATCAGTTTCTTCTTGTATTGTGAACTAAAAGGCTGGATGGGCTAAAGGCACTTATCACAGATTTCTAACAAGGCGTCATCAATGAAGAGAGTCAAAAGATGATCAGATGCTGTGTGTCCGAGCTGTTCTATGACTACTTTGGTGAGTATCCAAACAACTGGCTTGTCTTATTGCGGCTTTCAGATGACCCACTCGCACTGCATGTATGTTTATCAGCCCAATTCTCCACACTGAGCAATGTGGTCGGTGACTTCTGCAATCTGTTTATTAGATATAGTCCTTCCGGGACCTTACTTCTGTGTTCTATGACCTTAAGGCACGCCATCTGTGCGCTGCAAGAACCGCTATTAACTCATTGTTGCGTAACTCTCCAAGTGCTGTCCATTCTTTGCCATATTTGAAACTGTAACGTCCCTGTGTCTGTTGCTCTGGTAAGCTATCATTTTTTGGTTGTCAACTTTAGTTCGCCCAAAAACTGGTTGCAACTACTGCCATTGGTTTAGCAAGGCGTGCGTTTTTGGCGTTGCGGCTGAGTTCTTCTCTTCGAACAACAAGCTTGTCTGCCCTTAGGATCGATCAGAGTAATTATCCAGGTTTTTTAAAGTTTGCGTTTGTCTGCGCTCAAAAAGGTTTCCGAATCTGTACACCAACTGTTCACGCGTGTGTGTGCTTGGTGTGGATTTTCGTTCCTTCGAGTACATTAAAAGTATTCTCGGGTATTCTTTCTCTAAGGATGTGATTTCCGAGGGACATGCCCCCACTGACAAGTTGATTAGTCCTCATCTCATTTGTCTGCCACATTCTTTCACAATATTTCCCTTGTCATCAGAAAATGAAAGCCCATCGAAACGTGGCTCCAGCAGGATATGCGCTGTCTGATGGAATGCCGGGTAAAACAGTTGCTAATAAGAACAGACCACCTAATGCGAGTGA